TCTCTTTTGGATAAATATACCTCAGCTCCATTGGAAAACCCACACACAGAGCAGGAGCTATGCCCAGCAGATGATTGCCACCTAAAGCACAGTGACTGCAAATTATCTCTCCAGAGAGAAATATTTCATCCTGATCTGACTGCAGACTGATTCAATATGGGTTTTTTCCCAAGGTCTGTTTTTTTCACCCACTAATTAGTAGCCTAAATAAAATAAAAGCTGAGATTTTTGTGGGTTTTTTTCATGGGTTTGTAATGTCTTTTACCCATATTTCTTAACTACATCTTTCTCTAAACCTAAAAGGAATAATGTGACCGGCTGCCCTTTCCTATTTCTGGATTTGATTTATGCTGGAGTCTGCAAAGGAATGACTCACAGAGCCTTTACATTGGCCGCTTAGCCTTGTACAGAATCTGTGTTGAAATCCAGGGCATGCAGAGGATGGTCTGACCAGTGCAGCATGGGATAACTCTTCCACATTCCCTCTTGGACTTTATTCTGCAAAAAATGCGCTTCTTCTCCACAAAACTCCCTATGTTAAGTGTGTCACAAGGTTAAATCCCTTGCAGATTGCTTTCTGAGCTTCAGGCAGGGTGATTTTTCTGTGTTACTTCAAAGTGTTCATTTCTTTCCCTGGCAGTGAAAATCTCTGCTCTGTGGAGAACACAGGGGTCAGGTGGGCAATCTCAGACGTGCCTGCTTGCCATCCATCCAGGTACATTCTGCTYCTCTCACACCCCAGCTGCGGTGACACAGGGAGATGGGAATGTGTCTTTCTGCAGAAATCAGCATCTTCCTCAGGCTCTGACTGCTTAGAGTATTTCCTTCTTAGTTCAAAGAGGGAGCACAGGGTGATTCATCRTTCCTGCTAGCCAAGTTTACAAAAGAGTTTATTCATTTGCTGAGGCAGGGGCCAAGTTTTGATTAAAAACCATAAAATGTGGTTATGGTTAAAAAATGTTTCGGCCTGGACAGTGCCTTCTTTGCATGTGAATGGTGGAGGTCGCAGCCCTCAGAGCTGTCTACCCTAAATGCCCCCTGACAGAGAGAAAGGAGAATATATTCTCCTTTCAAAGGAGAATATCGGAATGTCATTTATAAGAGCTGCCTTGTGTCCTCCAAGCCCCTTGGATGCTTAGCAAGGGCTGCAGTCTGCACCACTACATCTCCTGTTCTTTTGGGCATCTCTGGGTAATTTGGAAAATCTAATTAGAGCACGGGCAATGTAATTTAACCTAATAAGGGGAGAATGTGTGTTTTTTCCCCTCCCTGCTGTCAGACCCCTCTAATTCTGTATGGGTGCACTTGCACAGTTTTAAATAAGCCAGTCGGGCAATTACCAGTTTTTTTCTGTGTTTGTGGAAGTTTAAATGGCCTTGTGAACGTGCAGCYGGGCACGGCTCAGAGCGCTGCCAGACCAGCCTCCACCATACCATAATTATGTTGAATAGGAACACGAGCCATCAGATTCCTCCCTGGGACACTCCTGGTGAATCCAGCTTTAGTCTCCCAAACCTGGCACAGAGACAGCTGGAGCTACCGTTCTGTGTGACAGACCTTTTCCATCCGAACACTGTGTTTATCTCACCTTAAATCTCATCTGCAGCAGAATTTAAGGCATAAATCCCATCCTTTCACTTCTCKCTGTTGCACTTTGGTGTCCTCAAGGGGTGCAGCCTTGAATAACACTGAGTTATTCATGACTGCCTGCAGCCTCCCAGTCTGCTCAGCTCGGCAGCACCAGAGCCAGGGTGGCTCAGAGCCTCACAGGACTGAGTTCACAAAACAGTGTTTCGGCACAAAGCCTTTTGGCTATTCCAGGAGAATCCTGGCTCAGGAAACCTTCAGAGCAGGAATGTGTTTGCAGCCAAGGTCTCTGAGTCTTGTCAGAGGACATGTATAGGTGATATCTCAGTGTTTCACACACTGGGTTTGTTTGAACAGTGCAGGACAGCCCCGTGCAGAGACTGAGCAGCTGGCCTGAGCTGACTGCTGGACATTACCTGCAATCCAGAGAGCAGATGCTGAGTGGGGAGCAGTGCAGGGTGTGGAGCAGTGGGCTGTGTGAGCTGTGGAAGCGCAGTAACCTGGTGTAGCTTTTTGTTGCTGCTGTGCACAGTGTTATTCCAGGAGGGAATTGTACTCAGTTCTGTTTCTGGTGAGGTGTATGTGCCTGGCCGTGTTGCCATTTCCCAGTGTTTGCATCTTCACCCCTTCTCCTTGTGATGGAGACGTTTCTCTAATGCTCAGAGTGTTTGATTCAGGATGACTTGCTGATAAAACTGAGGAATTTTGCKGTCAGGAAATGCTCACTGTCAGCTGGGTACCAGGCAGTGCTGAGCCCACAGGGGCAGCTGGCACTGTCCCATCCATACCCCCTTCCCTCACCTCAGGAGCCCCCCTTCTTCTGCCCATCAGAAAAAATGCAGTTTGTGTTTCCTTTGGTACTCCAGATCCTCACCTTGTGAGATCCATCTGGGCACACACTAAGGGAAGACAAATAATTAAATGGTATTTCAGGAGATAACACCTGCAYAGCATGGCACAATCTTTAATCTACAGCTGATGTAGAAACACTGCTCAGACTTTTGGCTGCATCTTTGAACAGCAGAGACTGGATGTTGGCATGCCTTGACTTTTGGCTTCCATCCTTGCTCTTCTAGGATCTGGTGTGATTATTTTTTCATTCATGAAAAACAAAGGAAAAGCATCAGACACACAGCTAATTTTAGAAGTTGTACAAGGCCTTTTTACACATGTAAGTTTTAGCCACAGTTTCAGGGAGAAACCTGAGCCATGCTGAGGTCAGAAAGAGTTGTTATCCAGACATATTCCTGCCTCCTCCGTTCTGACTCACTGCATTGTTTTATGGGAAATCCTATACAGCATGACATAAGTACTCTTCAGATACTTTTTAATATTTCCTCGGCCTGGGTCTTGAACAACCCTTGTAATTTGAGAGATAAAGGGGCATCCAAAAATACTTGCATGCACTTTTGGCAGCCAAGCTCTCTGCAAGGGGATTTTTACTCAACTTTTAAGGACCATAAGGGCTTCACTCACAGTATGCTTGATTCTCCTGGTTTTAAAGCAGATCTCCATGTCCTAGCTCTCYAGGTTCAGTCATTCCTCTCACATATTCTCATTCCTCACTCTGTAGTTGTGTAGGATTTTTTTCCCTTTTTAAAATTCATTAACACCGCCACTGTTGCCAATGGGCTCAGCATTGTCCAGCAGCAGATCCCTCTTGGATCCACTGGCATTGGCTCCMCTGGGCATGGGGAAAGCTCCCAGCAGTTTCTCACAGATGCCACACCTGCAACCCCTCATTACCAAAATGTTGCCACACAAACCCAACACACCTCTACAAACACATTTTTAGTCCTTTCTACTAAAAGAGAGGAAAAAAAAATCAATTTCCTGCTAACATTAGRGCAAAAAGTCTATAATAAAAATAGTTTAAAAAAGAAGCATCAGAACTGAGTAAGGAATCTGGCTCTGAATCATGTCATCGGCTCTTAAGATTAGTGGTGTTTTTACAATCTCTAAAATGTACTAATATCTTTAATGCCATCACAGACTCACAGCTTGCTRCTCTCATTGATAATGATGCAATCTTTCATAAATTCACCCAAATAGATGTTAATCCCTGAGGTTTATGTATGTGCAACATATGGAGCTGTGTTAGGATGTTCTGGTGACAGGACAGCTGGAGCTTTTTATTAGGGTTTATGATATTAGCAGTTGCTAAAAGCTTTAGTGAAATTGCACCACCATGTGAGATATTTATTTTCCTATTTTCCACTCTCCTTATGGATTCTGCTATGGCAAGTCATCCCCCAAAACATTGTTTTYTCAGTTGCATTTCACTAGATCTCTCTTTAGGGAATGGACTTGTCATGGGAATTTGAAAAGTAGGAGATAGCTTCTTCTTGGTGTCTTGCATCATCTGATTCGGTTCCTGCTTCAATTTACTATTGGAAAGATGCTATTTTTGGCAGAGGTAACTGTTGTGATGATTGGCAATGGTGATGGCCACTCTGAATTGGCGTGAATACTGGTTTGTGGGGTGGAAACAGAATAAGTTAGACATTCTGGTGAGCTGGGAAATGGTTTTCTCTTTGTTTCAGCTCTGCCCATGCCCCSTGTCGGGTCCGTCCTCGCCCCAAGCTGTGCCGTGATCCCGGGAGACGCAGTGGGGCTCCGGCTGCCCCTGCCCCCGGCGGAGCCCAGGCCAATGTGAACCCTGCCACGTTCCGGCGCTGAGATTGTTGCCCTTCATTTCCATCATTTTCCTTCATTTTCCCTCATTTCCATCATTTTCCTTCGGCCACGAGCCCGCCTCCCACGGCTCACCCGGAGCTGCTGGGCTCTGGCTCGACGGTGCTGTAAGCTGCGCCTGAGCTGCCGCCAGCCTGCAGGGAGCCCATCCAGAGACACTTCCAGGGATGGAGCAGGGCTTACGGGGTATTTTATTTCCCTCGGGATGGCTCGTTCCAGGGATGGAGCAGGGCTTGCGGGGTTTTTTATTTCCCTCGGGATGGCTCGTTCCAGGGATGGAGCAGGGCTTGCGGGGTTTTTTATTTCCCTCGGGATCCGCTTTTCCCGGGGAACAGGCGCTGCGAGGCCGCAGAGTCGCCGCGGACGGGCGGGAGGCGCGGGCTGTGCGCCGCTACTCGCGGCATTACGGCGGGGGCGGGGCGGCAGCCCGAGGGGCGGGGCCGGCGGGGGCGGGGCTGGAAGGGCCGGGGCGCTTCTAGAACGGGCGGCGGGAGCGGCGGCGGCGGTGAGCGGGCACGGTGTACGGTGAGGGGACGGGGCTGGGCTCTCGGTGCCGGTGCGGCCGGGTCTGCACTGAGGGCGGCTGCTGCCCGTAACAGGCTGTGCCCGCTGCCGCAGCCCTCCGGGACCCTCAGGGGTCCCGCTGCCGGGCTCCTCAGGGGCGCTGTGGGGAGCCGTGAGCGCGGTCCGAGCGCACTGAAGGCTGTTCAGCCTCGGCACSCCGCGGTTGAATCCTTGCCCGGGATCCTTAAATCCTCGTTCGGGGTCTCGCTCTGGTGCTGGGGGTCGGCGTGTCCCGGGCGGCTGTGCCGGTGCAGCGCCCCGCGGTGCGTTGGGCTCGGCAGCCCCTCGGTGCTGCCCCGGGCCGGGCTCTGGGCTCGGCGGGACGGTGGTGTCGCTGAACATCGCGGCTCTGTGTGAGTGTGGTAGAGGTGTCGTCGCGAAAACCGTGGAAGGGCTGGTTCCCCTTCTCCGCGCTGTTTGGGTTTGATAGCCCCGGCATTCCCGGTAAATGACTGCCAGCTGACTGTGCCAGCTGCATGAACCGGCTGTGTGTGTTCCCTGCCTGCCCTAGGCTCAGCACTGAGCAAGCGATGCCTTGAGCTTCGTAAAGGTGTTCAAACCCCGCTTGCACTGCTCACGTCTCATTTTGTTTTCCTCTGAGCTCTGTTTTCCAAAAAAGCCTGTCCCTGCACAGATGTGCAGCTGAGCTGGGGCCAGCAGAGCTCGGGCAGCTGTGTGTGACCTGTAGGATGCAGCGACCGAAGCCTCGGTGGATAAGACTGTGCAAAGGCAGTGGAGAGCAGCCGGTGTGAAAGCTGAAGGCACTAGCTAAGTGTTGTCACAGCTCAGCTGGGGCACAGAAGCTTGGCATGTCATACTGTGGCAAAACATGCCTTTGACCAGACAGGAATAATTTTATTTCAGGCAGCAAAGAATGTCCTTGTAACCTGGAAGCAAGGGGAGAGGATGTGTAAATAAAGACTATTTTTGGAACTGTCTGACTTTGCGATGTTTGGTGTTTCTAGCCAATAATCATCCCTCTTCCTCAACAGTAAGGTAGTCTTCTCCAGAAAACGTTTTTATAACTTAATCTCTTGCTCTTTAATTTTATAGGTGCTCTGTGAGGGTGGAGTGGAGCTGAAAGGCCACTGTGGCCATCTTTACACGGGCAATACTTCATCTTTCTGGCATTAAGGAACTTGGAAATAATCCCACAGGTATGTTGTGAATATATGTAGCAATTAATAACTGTCACTCATACTTCACAAGCAGAACGTTATTCTGTACTTGTAAATTGGCACTGCTGTGACCCTGACAGACAAGAATGTGGCTTCTTGCTAATGCTGTCATTTCTTGGGATTCAATTTTCTAATGTGACTAATCATACTTTGGGAAGCAGTGCAGGAATTATGTATTTCAAAGAGAGTAACAGCAGAGGGAGCAGGGTTTACCAATTCATGTAAGAAGTTTTTCAGTGGAGGTTTAAGTCAGGAATCCAATCTGTTTATAATTTCCATGCTGTGCACATTGGCAAACTTCCAAAGAAACAAGCTGTAAACATAGATACTTTTCCTATGACTAGTTCTGATTTTTGTGCATGGTTTTCTATATGTCAGAGACATGAGAACATGGAGTGTGGAAGGGGTCACGTTCTAGGGTGATGTTAGAATAGAGTCAGCCCCTGAGATAATGATAATCTTTGAGATAGTGCCTGGTTTTAATTAAACTTAATTCAAATAAACATTTCTCTAATGGTAGATCTTTTAATATGAAGAACCCCTCATTTCTGAACAGGAAGATATTTTTAATGCTTTATATGAACAAATGGCAAATTATGTCAAGTTATGTTAAGTATGATGAGATACTAAAGTTAAGGCCTTTGCACAGTAAAATACAGTTGAAGTATTAATGCTGAAAAAATTAGCTGTAGTGGAAAAAGCTCAGTCTTTTTGTCTTCACTGCGACTGTGGTCTTTGGCTTCAGGCTGCATCATATAGGCAGAGATTGCAGAGTATGATTCAGGTAGATTTGCTGTGCCTTAGACTTGCATCAGTTTTGTCATCTACTGGAATGTKGAAGAAGCATTCTTTGCTATGACTTAAAAAAACTGTTGAAAGCTAATCAAGATGACTATAGCTTCTAAGGTGGTTGTAATTTATTTCATGTAAAAAGTATTGCCAGCAGTGTTKCATGAATGTGCTGTGTCCTTTCAAGTAAACAACTTTTCCTCATTTTCTTTTGGCTTGCCTTGAGAAACACAAGGCAATCATRTTGGTGTTTTTGCTAGGCAATTATAATTGTTTTCAGATGCATATTAAAATCCTTTGTAAAGAAAGGTGGTGATGTTGGCATATGCTGCTTTAAGCAGTAAAGCCAATGTGCTCTGAAGGAAGGAGCTGGGTTGAACACTGGTACATCTGAGTTCATGTGGATAATGAATTKCAGCTCTGAATTACTTGTTTCAAAGTCTTCAGCCAATGGTGTAGGTTTTTTTCTCGGGATAAAATGATTCTTTCCTTAGTATTTAATCATCTCTAAATAGTTGTATAGCTGCTATCTTGCGTCAGGCTAATATGCAAAATTTGAAGTACTGCTGCAAGTGGATGGTTTTATGGCTGCTTTTCTTGGTTGTATTGAGAGAGGCTCCTCCTTGGCAACATCTTGAAAATCTGTTTGCAATTAAGCCTGTCTTTTGGCACTTAATAAGTAAGCAACCTTGCAGGTTTTTGTTTATACCATTTTCCACTTGGATATCTTTACCCTTATCTGCAGCCATCAGTACTGATAGCAGGTTGTTGCCGACTTTTGAAGCTCCATTGTTTGTGGAGGGGAACAGGATGAAACCATCCGCAGCACTGTGTCTGCAAGCAATAAGGCAGGGTGGAAAACAGTGGCATTTGGAGGAGCCCCAAGCAGACCTGTCTCATCCAAGAGCCCAACCTCAAATTGCTGTTTGAGGATGGACAAAAYTTCAGAGCCTCAAGAACTCATCAGTGGCCTGAGGTGACCTTGAGGTAGTGATTTGCTTGTCAGATTTCACCATGATATTTTAAATGTAGACACATGTGAGAGCAGCTGTTTGCAGAGTGGTTTTCCAGGTGTCTTTAATAGCACAAGCAAACACGGAAGAGACAGGCTGTAACCCTCACTCGTGTCATCAGCTTGTATGTTGTGTTCCACTAGTTCAGAAAAAAATGGTATCCTAATCAGRTGTTGACAGTATCTAGTTGTGATACTTTGTTTCATAAGCTTTATTCCTCTGTAGCAAAATCTGGGTCTGTAAGCATGGAACCAAAACAGAGAGCATTWCTCTGCCTTAATTACTTAGAAGAARCCATTGCTGTATGCTCTGAAARAATTTTTCCCCACCTAGTTTTTGGAAAGAGGTGACTTTTGCTGGTAGCACTTTGGAGCAGTTACATCACACCCCAGTTCCCCATCTCCCCAAGAGAAGCCCCATAGCAAAGGGAGTGTTGTCTCCTCTAAATTTGGAGTGGAGGAACACTGGTTTGTGTTTTGTTTTTTTTTCTGGGGTTCAGAAAAAGGGTGTAGTAGAAGTGAGGCTGTGAGTAGAAGTCACACTCTGGCCTAATTTGCCACAATAAAGGGCATGATTTTTATTCTTTATGTTGCACAGATTGATCTTATGTTGGTTCTRCTTAATTCTCTTGCATGAGAAGTCTGTGCAAATTTGGAGCTGGATGAAGGACTTGCTTTTTTTGTCCCTGTTTTTAGTTAGGCTGTCAGGCARCTGGAGGACTCTTGTTCTGTGCTGAACAAAGGAGACTGTAGCATATCAGTTTGATCAGAAGTTGAGTTCTAAAGGCACTGAATTAGTAATAGGTGTTTGTTTCCTCTTCTGACCTGAAAAGAGTCCTCCCTTTTGGCTCATGTGGGAGCTGGCCTGACTCCCCTGTGACTGGGTATGAAATTCAGAGTGAGTGAAGAACTGAGAACCATGGTAGATGTACAGGCAACTTCCCTTTGATAGATCAGGTCTGTATTTTTATATCTTGTTGACTATGAGTTTTTTWGAAAGCTTATTTAATAAAGAATTCAGTGTAACTTGTGGAGAAAAATTCCATCCTGGTGTATTTCATCTAGAAGAACCTGTTTTCCTTCTGCCAGTGTTCCCTGAGCCTGACAGCACTCTTTCCAGTGGGAGTAATGATTCATTGAGGTCTTGTACTGTAAAGAAGTAAAAAATATAGGCAGGAATATAGGCAGTATTTGTCCTACACAGGCTGATTGTCTGGCATTTCTGTTTGAATAAAACACACTGGCTTTAGAAACACTTCTCCATTATTGAGGCAAGASCTGTTCCTGCCCCTTCTGCCCCTCTTGCCCTCTTTGTTAGCAGATGGTTCAGCTGGTGTGGGGTGGGCACATGTACGTGTGGCTGTGCACACACACTCCTGCCGGCCAAGACTGTGGTTTTTCAGCCTCCTGTAATTCATTATTTGTGCTGGTTTTCCCAGTAACAGCTGTGAAAAGAATGTGTACAAACAATCTGCGAACCCTGCAGCCAGGTGTCCTGCTTGTTCGAGCAAGAGCTGCTTTCTCTGTTTACTGAGGTCTCTGTTATTGACTCAAGTAAAACTGAGTAGGATGGTAAAGCTGTTAAAGATCTGCTATAAAGACAAGCTGCTAGCTGTAGTAAGTGTGCTTCTTGGCAGATATCCTCAGCCATGAGAAAACATGGTGAGGAGGTGCAGGAGAATGTAGAATTGTGGTGTTTTAACTGGAAYATTCACTTGTAATTGTTCTCCCAGGCTTTATGTTGTGCATCCAAAAAACCASTCTGTTAAATGATGACAGACTATTCAGATGGACAGAAGAGGYTTAATATATTCAAATTAATGTACTTCCCAAGTGCTTTTGACTTGCTGGGCTTTCTGCTATATCATTTACTGTGTCTCCTAGTATTGGCAGACCTCTGCATGGCACTATTCACTCAGCTTTACTCATTTCTCAGATTACCCATGTACTAGTTCTGAACTAACTTAAACAAGCAGTTTGGGAATATGTGGTTTGCAGGGGGGTGAGAAGCAGAAAAGGGAAAGAAGACTTATTATGATGCTGTGAGACATTTTCCTGCTTACTCATGCTTGYAAACTGTTGTGGTAAATTATTCTGATTCCTTGTGTAGTCTTCTAAAACAATCAGAAGAATAAATTTAAAATAATCTTCTTGCCATGTGATATACAGCAGAGGACAGAGCTATTTCTAATGTTCTTAGTGAAGGTGGTGTCACAGAGGGTGTGTTTGGTGTTTGTGTCCATGGCATTGGTGAGCTCAGCTGAGAGTGAGGTCTTCTGTTGTGCTGTGGACTTGAAAATCCAAGGAAAAGAGGGCAATATCCACTTTTCATCTTTTGCCTTGTGGCAATTTCATCTTTTGGAGGCAGATGTGTGGAGCCCAAGGGAATGAATTAGAATTATTGCTGAATTATCTTGATTCTTTCCTATTTGCTGCATTGCTTGAAATTCCAGGACATTCCATGTATGTTCCCTTCCTTTCTCCCCTCCATTCCCCTTTCTCATCAGGTTGATTCTATTTTKCCCCAATAGATGCATTTTTACTGTATTTGGGATTAGAGTAGGTTGCACATGGTCAGTTTGAGCCAACAGTTTGCCCAGTTACATTGAGTAGGAAAATGAAATAATTGCTTCCTGAGTTAAGTTGGAGAGTTGTCCCCTCCCTTTTGATGCTGTGCACGGGCATGCCAAGAGCTGCACATTTGGGCAGCAGTGCTCCCACACGAGGCTGGCTTTGTGTCTGTCCCTGCTTGGTGGGCAGCAGCTCTGGAGTGATCTGTGGTGTTCCTGGTCATCACATCTCCCACGAGGCTCTCCTGTGTGCCCCTTGCATCCCTTGCTTCCCTTGACCCTGTCTGCCCAGACTGGCTTTCCTCCCATGCCCTCAGGCTGTGCTTTTAGAAGTGGAGCAATCTGCTGTCAACATCTGTCTCTGGGGCTGGGTTTCTAAAGTGGCACAGCCTTTGAAATACAGAAGTCATAAGGGCTGTGCCCAGAGGCCAATATGCTGAGATGATGCATCTTGAATAAGCAGAGCTGGAAATTTCACTTTCAACTTTTCCAACTGTTGCTGCCACTTCCACACTACAAAATGTTCTATTTCTCTGTTTGGCTTTCTCACTRTTTGTGTTTCTAGACAGTTTTTAAATAACTGAGTTTTATAGAATGCTGTAAAACTATTTAATTTAGACTTTTGTTATTATTGGAATATAATGCTATTTTGTGGGTCTCATATTTTCCAGGTCTAGTTGTGTGACATGGAAGGCATTGAGCTACTCTTGCAAAAGAGCTTGTTCTCACTGTCTCATTGGACAATATATTGTTTCCTTTACTGTTCTCATGTGGGCTTTCCAGTCTCTTCCATGTAAATTCAAAAAAAAATATGCAAGAGAGCATTTGAGACTGTTATATAACAGCTCCTGTGGTTGAAGGAGACTTTTTTCAAGCTTTACTAATTAAAATCCAGTCTTTCAAGAACCAAAATAATTTTCATGAGGGTGAAATGACTGAAGATTGATGCCTTGGCTTGTTTTCCCACAAATAAGTTCATTATTTTAATTCCTCCTTTTCCTTTTAATTTGTTACAGGTTTGARCAGTCTGGAAGATGAAGCCCTGGCTGCAGTTGGTGTTCTTCACYTGTGTTTTCCTGATCTGGCACACAGAAGCAGAGTTCTTCACCTCCATAGGTATGGAAAGAACCAGTGCACAATGTTGTGATGTGGTTAACATGATTGCCACAACTGTTAAAGCTATCAGTTGAAGCTTATGGCTTTCTTCATGTGGCCCTTGCCAACATTGTCTCTATTAGGAAAARTTGCTTTTCTGCAGCATCAGTGCAATTTGTTTGCAGTTGGTTGACTTGGAACACTGTGACCAACACGATTCAAGTTTCACTAGGGCYTCTGTCAGTAAAATAGTATGGGACCTGTGTTCTGTTAGGATTTGTGCATCTGTTGTCACCTTGAACAGAGTACCACCTTATGCTATAAAGCTTGGTCCTGAATTTGGTTTATGAAAATAATTGAAGTGGTGAATATGTGAATTTTTTTTTTCACAGGACCTGAAATCTCCTGTCTTCTCAAAAAGCTGGAGTTAGGTGTCAAAAGAAAAAAWTTATAACTCCCTTACATTGTGTGTTTTGTTAGGCCTGAGTAAATCCTAAAGAATTTAGATTGTTACAGATCTGAAAAATAAGGTGATTTTTATGACAACTTAGTTCCTGTRTTCTAATAGGATACAACCATGTATGATTGTGGTAGAGCCTCAAAATAAGCACAAGCTGAGTTTTCTGCTGTTAATTGGTCTAATGTTTTCCTGCCGAGCAGTGTGGGGACTTCCCCTCCATAAGGGCATTAGAGGCTGATTAACAACCACTGGCTGCTCTCCAGAATGTCCTTAGAGTCAGTGGAGCTGTTTGTGAATGGCAGAGCTCAGAGCTCCTGGTGGGTTGTTGTGTGTGGAGCTGCTCAGCCGGAGCTCAGCAGTGGTGTCCCACTGCCAACATCCTCACATGCCCCCGGGCTGGCTGAACAATGTTTAACTTCATGTATATTATTTGCTTCTGATTTTTCTAAGTTAAGTGACGTTTTATACAAAGCTTCCATGAAGGATCACCTTCTCTTTACACTTAYCTATTTCTGAGCTTTTCTTAACTCTGAAAATAGCACCGCCTGCTGCCTTCTATCTGCTTAATCAKGCCTCATTCATAATTACTTTGGAATGTTGGAGCTAAAGTTGTGGTTRCATTTATAAATCTCATCATGCCCTTTCAGTTTGGGCTTTGAAAAGCAAAATTTGTCATAGCAATTAGGCCTGACATCTTAGCAATTTCCACTAATGCTACTCAGGCGAGTGTGTGTGTGAGTCTATGAACATTAGTCTGAAATTCCTCTCTGCTTAATGTTAGGTTGTGTTTCCACAGTTACCCATATTGTAAAGCTGTAACTTTAAATGATGCCAGTAATTGCAATAATTTGTTAGTGTGACCTAATCTGTATCCATAYGTAGAACAGATGCTTTGGCAACTTTTGGATCTTTTGTTGCTTTTGCTCCATAGCTATATGAGTGTCAAACCTTTCTTTTGGTTGTCTTGCATGCACTTGTAATTTTAAAAGTAATTCAGAAGCTGTGGGAGGGTCACAGCAAAGCTACATGAACTGTCCAAGCTGGGACTTYAAAAGCCCCCTGAAGTATTTGAATGCCAGGCCTGTGTGTCTAATAGCTTTTGTTGGTTTACAGGCATTGAAGTGCGCACCCTTAATCTGTCTGTTGTTTGTGGTGGTTTTAATAGCCCTGGAGCACTTGGGGTTTGTCTTCTGTGCACTTGGGAATTGTTACTTTTTTTAGSTCTGATGAATATTTGCTCCTACTCTCTTTTTAGGTCAAATGACAGACCTGATTTATGCGGAGAAGGACTTGGTACAATCTTTAAAGGAATATATCCGAGCAGAAGAGAACAAGCTCTCTCAGATTAAAAGGTAAGGGAGGAGATTTGTGTAATGAAGTTGACAAAATGGCTCATTTGTGTTCAGTCACACCCTACCTCTCTGTCACCACTCTGCTGCCAGATCTTGTTGGTGTTCCCTCAGTAGATAATCACAGTGAGAGCACAGCTACTWAGTTAATTCCCATTAACCTGCAAGGAGGGGTCCCTGCTTCAGATAAAATTTAGAATTTTCTTCTTTAGAAATGGCCCTCTGCTGGGCTCTACACACTTTGCCTTYTCCTTGTGCCATCACAGGACCCCTGTAGAGAGGACACTGATATCAGAGTCTTGTCATGAGAGCTGAATGCCTCTGTGTGCCAGTGCTCCSTGCTGCCTGTTGTTTCATGCCATCAGCCCTGCTTACAACAGCCCAGTATGGCATTTACCAAACCCCTGGATTCCTTCCCATGTTGGCTTTGCCCTCAGAGCAGTTCTCTTGCCTTGTTCTCTTCAGCTGCTGATGTGGCTGCAGCACATCTGGTGGTGTCCTGACTGTTGGGATCACTTGAAAGGCTCTTGCTGACAACTGATACTTTGTCTCTTAGGGAGATTGTTAATGTTTGTCTAACCAAAGCAATATCTACCAGGGTGTGACACCATAATCTAAACGAGGTTCTGGTTCAGAAGAGTCAAGTGTCTCTAGAAGGAGTCATGCTTTCCACCAAAGAACTTCTGAACTTGGGGCTCTTTGTGTCAATCTGGTCTCCCTTTGCGAGGGTAGGGTCAGAATGGAGCTATGGAGCAGTGAAATGTTAGGAATTCTGGTCACATATACACAATGTTCTTTTCTTGAAAAGCTGCCCTTTGGAGGCAAAGCAGTCTCATCTTCAAGTATTGGTACTGAGAATATCTGTKCAATCTATGTATAAGCTGGTATTTTAAAGACTCACTGCAACTGAGATGCATGTCTGCCTGTAGTGAGGTTTAAAATACTAAGCAGGGAAATATTTTCCCTTTGAGACTATTGTAATTAAAAACCCTCCACTTTATCCTTGTGAAGTTGAAAGGTTGAAAGCCAGTTTTGATAGTAAAAGTGGCAATAATTTGATCTATATATGTCATTTGAAAAATTTAAGAAGGAAGACATGCATTCATAAATTGTTCTGAGGCTGAAGCGCACATTCTCATTCCAGCTGGGCTGAAAAAATGGAGGTACTGACCAGCAAATCAGCCTCTGATCCAGAAGGGTATCTGGCACACCCTGTAAATGCATAYAAGCTCGTGAAGCGTTTGAATACTGACTGGCTGGAATTGGAAAACCTGGTTCTTCAGGATACAACAAATGGTAAGGAGCTACAGGGGACTGCTGTCGGGAGACAACCTTGTGTTCTGGAAAACCACAAGCTTGGCTGTGGTTTAAATATAGTTGCCAAGTTTGTTTGAATAACAACTCATAGCTTGCCTCCTGTGTGCTGATTACCCAAGTGAGTGAAATTTGCAACTGAAACACATCTCAGTCAAGACTCAATCTGTTGAGAATGGGATAGTTAAAACTGTGGTGGGAACTGTTGAGTGTTATGTYCCCTTGTATATAAACTGCTTCATCTGCTTTCCCAGTCTGTTCCTGGTCTTGATGATCATTGGTTTTTGACCATGTTGATCAGTAAATAAGATTAAGAATCAAATATTGAATTGGTGAAGGAATTTGTACCAGCCCCAGCATCAAGAGTTGGCACATGCTGTAGGCAGTTTGTTGGAAACAGAATAATTTACAGTTACAGTCTTTGAACCTATCCTTCTAAATCTAATGCTTCCAGTACTAATCCTTAGGTTTGCATCATTGTTGAGTGTCTGTGGAAGCAAATTCAGGCAGCTTTTTTTTTAAGTGGAGGTTTATTTTTGCTGGACTCCTGGAAAGTGAGRGAGAGGTGGTTATGTTTTTCAGACAGAACACTGCATGTTTTCCCTTTCTATTCTGCATATGCTAAAGTTTAGGTACTTGGAAGGTTTTTCCAGACAAGGCTTTTATTGCCTTTTGGAATAGTCATCCTAAATGGAAACAAAATACTCAATTTTATTGAATACTTCTGTCACTAATTCTTTTTCTAAAGGCTTATTTTTCCAGTTCTGCTTGCTGTATGACTGGAAATGGTTGGGYTGTTTTCCTTCAGCTGATGGTTTCCTCTTCTGCCCAACCAACCTGCTGTATAACCTTGATAAATTTACCTAGTGCATTTTATTTTATTTCTGAATATCACCTGCTTTTACTTTAAGCCTCTCACTAGCCTAGTGAAGGAATGCTGGATTAGAGTCTCTGTCCCTGAAACTGTGGCTTGAAAAGCTCTTGTGGCTTTACAGGTTGGAACAGAGTTGGAGATCATTGACCAGTACTCCAATCTAAAATCAGTTGTCCCTGGGGATATTGCAGGAGATTTGATGAAAGCTGTTAAGTTTTCATATTGGGAAGAGACATGACAGGAAAATGAAGATCATTAGATTCACTTCGTACATCARTAATTGTGTGGCACCAGAAAACTGAGGAGTTTAGCTTATTTATTTAGCATATTTATCCTTTATTTTTTGCTCATGAGCTGTATTTCTTAAAATGGGACAGAAAACAATGTTTATAACTTTTGAGCCTAATAAGAGGCTTTAAATCTGGATTGCTTGAAATTCAAYTCTCAAGCCAGAGCAGATGTTTCGTCTTCTATGTTAATCTTGTACTGATTTTTATTCAAGCTCTGAAAGTAACATCTTTCCCTTTCACTGCAAAGGTTTTATTGCAAATCTCACAATCCAGCGTCAGTTTTTCCCAACTGAAGAAGATGAGACTGGAGCAGCAAAGGCTCTGATGMGGCTGCAGGACACCTATAAACTGGATCCTGAAACCCTCTCCCGGGGGAGCTTGCCAGGTAAGTGCACCAAGCTTTCCTCTGCTTGAACAGGAAGGAAATGGTAACATCCTCAAACTCTGTCTAAAAGTCCTTTATGAAGTGAGGRTTAACTGTTTTTGCCACAGAGATGTTTCAGAAAGGTTAGATACTGGGATGGCTGTTTATTAGCTGAGTCCTGATGAGTGTTGCTGCTGCTGAGAAACCTTCTGAAACAGGCTATGGTGGTTACCAGCATGCTGTTTACAAACTGAATAGGCTTTAGGGGTGGTAGATGAGGCTGACACAATGTTTTTAGTTATTTTTAGTGTTAATAACCACTAATAATTAACTGAATTTTAACTCTTATCTGTGCATCTTCTGACCTGGAGCAATTGGCAATCAGCGCAGTCACRCTCAAATGGACACTCAGTTTGTCTAAATAAATATCAGGTAGTTTATGCACAAATACAGAGAAACAAGCTGGCTGTGCTTGGCTCAGGCCTCTGTGATCATTGAACAGTGTTAATCTGTAAGTCAGGTGAAATCTGGTAAGGTGTTAGTCTGCTCCTCCTTTGTCTGCAACAGAAAACACAATAGCTTAACACTGTAACTTCTGTTAAACCTCTCTTTATTTCCAAAGGAATGAATTAAAATAAAATTAAGACAGAATTTACTATTTAATTGTGATAGTGATCATTTTAGTACTGAACCTAAAATATTGTCAAAGCATTGTTTCTTAGAAGCATTTTTGGACGATAAAAGTGTGTATTTACAGGTACTTCTCAATGTGTCCCATGTATTTAAGGCAAAGGTGCTTCTGTGTGGATTGCTCCAAGCTATCTTTTTGTTTTTAGGAACAAAATAYAGATCCTCCCTGACAGTTGGTGACTGCTTTGGCATGGGGAAGACTGCCTACAATGATGGGGACTATTACCACACTGTGCTCTGGATGGAGCAGGCCTTGAAACAGCACGATGAGGGGGAGGATACAACAGTCAGCAAAGTAGAGATCCTAGATTATCTCAGCTATGCTGTTTTCCAGTTTGGGGATTTGCACAGAGCCATGGAGCTCACCAGACGGCTGATATCCCTCGGTAAGAACAAAGATCATGTTATTTTAGCTGGGGAGTGGCCAGCAGCAGAGGTGACAACAGTTATGGCTCATCCACATTGGTGAGCTGACTGGAAGGATATCCTGACAGATGACTTCTAGTAAATGTGGATCCTGGAAAAAAGAAGTCTATTTATACATGAAGTGTCTTTAACAAGCTGTCTCATGGTCTGTGCTGCTGTTACCCAAGGCCCCAGTGTGCCTCACTGCAGTACCTGTGTGCTTTGCTGCAGTGCACTGAGGCGCTGTGTTTGGCAGTGGTTAAAGCCTTGCTTGTCTTAAGTGGAGATCAAGGCTACCACAGACTTAGACAGAGCTGCACCTTCTGTAGACTTCATATATGCCTCTTTATTCCTCAGTGCAGGTATTCTAGGATGCTGGAAGAATACTTTGCCTGAGATCTTACAGTATTTAATTCTGAATGTTCAGAACAGATTGAGTTCCTTAGAACTTCCTTTTATTTCTGAGCTGTTTCTAGCTTGCCCATGAGTAAGCAAATAAGCATTGCTTCCTATTCAGCTTTGCCTACTTCCTGCATTGGAAAGGTCTRTCCTCCTCAATTAGAGTTAACATTTACTGTGCTAGGTATTCGGTTTTTTTTTTTAATGAGCTGTGGTTCTTAGTTCTTAGTTTAGATATTAGCAGCATCCTGAGAGCGGGGCGGATATTTTTCCTATTGAAAAATATCTATTAGCCTAATTTGGATGGACACTGGAATTCTTAAATTAAAATTTGCAGGAGTATGAATATGTATTGAATCTAGATCCCTCTGCAGTGGGATTTAGCATTGATAGCAGAATGCAAATCCTTATCAGCAGCAAACAGTGGAACACACTTGGCAGTCCCCCCTGGGAGCAGCAGCTTCCTCTGCTCTGGGCTCAGCTTCCTTATCTGGCCACTATTACCCTGTGCTCTAATGAGTGGTGACTGCAGTGAGCCCTGGGGTTGGTTCCATGAGGTAAACACAATAAGATTGGGAAGGCCAGAATGGAAAGAAACTCTTCTAAGTGGTAGCATGCAGAACCACAGTGAACAAGGAATTGTTCCTTCTTAGTTATCTGGAGTAAARCTCTACTGATGAGGTTTATTGATTCGTACCAACATCATTAATAAATCACTTAATATGTCTGAAGATGCCAGGGATCCAGGCTCCTTCCCATATAAATCTGTTAGAGCTACAGATGGATGCTGYAAGGTGGGCTTAACGTGGTAACAAACAGCTCAGAGCTTCCCATCCTGAGAGAAATTTTTGCCCATGAAGACTGTGGCTGKACTCCATCACAGTCCTTGGTTAAAGTGTGCTTGTGCAGTGTGGGTGAGAGGAGCAYGGTGAAGAGGAGGGGTGCAGCAAGTGGGCTACCTTGGGCTACCTCATGAGCTCTGTGATCTGCTCCTCTTGGGTTGAACTGGTCAGAGAAGTTGGAGGAGAGAGAAAAGGAGGAATGTGAAGAAAAAAAGCTTCTACCCTTTTTCTTGGGATGCAGGTTCTGTGATGAGTTCTTCCAGAAAGGATTCTCTTGTGTGCTGTGCCTACCTCTCCTTTGCGAACACAGAAACTTCCCAGTGTTGATTTTCAGTGCAGACTGAAGGCAGTGCCTTTGTTTGCCTGATAATACTTTAGGAAGGGAAGAATTATTGCTGTTTTGATACAGGGACTGGTTTGTACCAGCAGTTCCTGAGTTTGCTAAAATCACCGKTTCTGTCTGTTTTTTCTCCCGGTGAAGACAGCACTCATGAGAGAGCAGGCAGTAATCTGAGGTACTTCGAGAAGCTACTGGAGAAGGAAAGAGAGGAGAAGGAGAAAGAAAAGTCARTTAACAAGACTGTGACAACCACAGAAGCCGTGGTGCAAGGTGGAGCCTATGAGAGGCCTCTTGACTACTTGCCAGAGCGTGATATCTATGAGGCCCTTTGCAGAGGTGAAGGGGTGAAAATGGTAAGAGACAAGAATTTCCTGACTATGCTGCCTTTGCATAAGGATGGTCAAGCTTGGTGAGACATGGTTTTTACTTCTGTGAAGCTGTCTTTTAAGAAAAAAATTATATTTCTGTCCAGGTTGGGATTGGTACCATTTATCACAGCTTCTCCATCTTTAGCAGTTGCACACAAACAGCTCTTAGCTGGACCTCTTAAAGATTGTTGAAAATTGATTTCCCTCAGTCTGTCTACTCAGCTTTTTCAAAGTCAGCTGTACAGATACAGAGGGAGGCTTTTTCCCCTGAGAGCTGATAATGCTTTGCCACMCTTAGGGGATCACATTATTCCTTCCCTTTTGCATCTTAGCCCTGTTCTTCTGGAGTGACTGTTTTGACCAACTGTTCTCCAGTACCTCACAACAAACATGGCTTTAATTCTTAGTGCAGGGAAAAAGAACCAATTTKTTTCATTTGCATAGTCCTAATTATAAGAACCACGCTTCTTTTACAGCTGACTGCTTGTGTAGTTCTTTGCTTAATCTGTAACCTATCATGATTTARTTCTCCTAAAGGTTAGTGTTTCAAATGCTGCTCAGTGGTATTTAAAACAGGATGTCTTGGTTTTTTATTTGCAGTAAATTGCAGAATCACTTTTATTTACCTCTTGTATCTGCTGGACAGCTTTTACAATGTTTAGAGGAATGAAGCTCATGTTTTCTTGTCTGCTTTAAGTTCAAGAAAAATGTTTGAGCAGACAATGCTTTGTTTGGCATTTTGTTTCAGACACCTCGAAGACAAAAAAGGCTGTTTTGTAGGTACCATGATGGAAACAGGAACCCTCACCTGCTCATAGCTCCCTTTAAGGAAGAAGATGAATGGGACAGCCCTCATATTGTGCGGTACTATGATGTCATGTCTGATGAAGAAATTGAGAAAATCAAACAACTAGCTAAGCCAAAGGTAAGTTTTCTCTCTAATGACTGCTAATTCCATGCTTTAATCTCTATTAGCAAGGACTAGGCAGAGGATTTGAAAGATCTGGTTTCATACTACAGATGAAACTCTGCAGCTGTGAGCCTAAAGGGAGGGAATGATTTCGAAACTGCCTGGTGATGTAGGACCATAAAGCCCAGGCTCCCAAAGGTATTTATGCATGGTTGCACTTAACTATGCAAAGTTCTCAGTAAACGGCTTAGAAAGCTTTAAAGAAATTAGAGACTAGGCTTGAAAAGGTAAATGACAGACTTAGAACGATAGGAGTAGGTGTGCAATATGCCTTTAGTTTGCCTTTTGAAGTGGAGCCAAACTTAACTGAAAAGCCCAAATCTCAACAGAAGTGGAAAGAAAAAAGAGTAAGTTGTGCTTGAATAATACTTAGAGGTTTAGGGTTTTTTTTTTTTGTTTTTTTGGGTTTTTTTTTTGGTTTTTGTATTTTGGAATCCACTGCTTCTGTTCTAAACCATAGGTGTTCCCTGTTACTCATGGTGTGAGTTTCTAGTGACTCTGCATGCAATAAAAAAAGCAGCTACCTCATACAAAGCTAKTAATGTTCTGTTTCTTCTGGAGGTGGAATTTCTTGCTTGTCACCTTTCTGGCAAAAAGTATGGCAGTATGATAGTAGTAGATGCTACAGCTTAGTATTTCTGTCAGGTCTGAGCAGAAAGTAAAATTGAACAAATCTTCACTTATAGATGAAYGGTTCATTTTAGCACTCTTCAGGCTACTGCTATGAAATATGGTACTAAAATTCCAGTGAAGAATTACCCTTCTGTAAGTATTTCTAAATGCAAGCATAAATAGTTAGAAACAGATTGAGAAACTGATGCTTCCCAAGAACATTAATAATTTGGGATGTTTGTGAAGCTGGACTTCTATGACTACCAGCCAGATGTAGAAGTGTTGGCTGAACACTCCTGTCTCAGAGAGGACTCTCACCTCCATAAATGGAGAATTTTTCCTATTACTTCATAGTAGAAAACTTCAAGAGCTTCAGATAAAATGGAAGCATTCACATAAAGCATATCACTTAATCTATTTTATCAAATAAAACACCGTCTAGAGAAAGCTGTTTTCTGATTTTTCCTTCTCATTCTAAGTTTTATGGAAAGTCTTAAGTCTTGGTCTCTGAGTTTTGCTTATATTACTAATGTTAGAGGAATTTTTCATGTAATCCATGTAGTATAGAACTGCAATCAGTCCCTAGAAGAGGAGGTAAATATGATAGTCTTAAGATTCAGATGAAAATTTTCAATTAAAAAAAAAAGCCATTTTCATATGAGTTGTTTTTTCTAAATCTSTGTATAGCTCAGCTGCAGGAATAACTTTAAATTTTGCAGTATTACTGAAAGAAGGGAAAATGCAAGTCCTGTGGTGAGATGATCCTTAATAAATACAGCTTAATTTTAGTCAGAAAACACAGAAGCTTTGACAGAACTGTGAAGTGGTGTTACAGTTTTAGGCTCAGAAAGATGAGYGCTTTCTTTATTCTAAAATGCATTTGCAAGGAATTTTTACTTTTGAGTCCAAGCYCTTTCAACATTATCTGCAGTTTACACTTGCCAATACTTTTTGTAGAGAAWGAACATCTGTATGTGATTGGGAGTAGCTGCAGTTGAGTTGCTTTTTGTGCTTGTTTTGCAAAATGCAATCACTGTTATTCCACTTCCAAAAAATAGATCCAGTTTTTCAGACAATCTATCAGAACTGGCTGGGGAGGGTCAAGAAAATTTTTAACTCTGCTGATGTGGATAGCATTGAGGCAGGTCTGCCATCAAAGTATGAGAACCATATTCCCAAAATTCTGAATGTTACCTACAAGCCAGGAATGTCTGAACAGGCAAGGATATGGCTTGGAGTGGGGAGCCATAACTATGTGAGCTCATCCTGCAGGGTTTCAGTAGAATTTCAGAAGGAAATAACAGTGGAGAGCTTGTTAAACTAAACATAAACTCTGAGAAACACTCAATGAAGCTTCTGACYCATGTAGCATGTTATGATTATTCAAAGCAATAGCCTCTTATAGGGCTGATTTCTCCACTCATGGAGAGGAAGCCTCACATTTATCTGTTGCTTATACYAACAGAGATGTAGATTGTGTGCCTTCAATGAAAAAACCTGCCTATCAGAGCAGATAGGGAATAATGTCAAGGCATCAGGGTTATTTGAGTTCTGATTTAGTTAGATCATCTTCTAGTTGCAGAAATCAAGCAAGCATATACTAGCTTGAAAATGGCAGCAGAATGAAGTTTGGGAAGCAAAATTATATCCCCAAAGCTTCCAGTACCAGTGAAGAACAACATTCAGTTCAGCCTGRCTCTTCTGTTATGATTTATCCAGGAGAAATCTGGAACAAAATAACAGTGAGTCAGAATTACAGCAACAGCTGTGCCAAGAACTCTTGTATAGGGACAAGACAGCTGACATGGATTGTAAAGTTGGCTGGAGACTTTTTTGGGAAAAAAACGAAGGAAATAATGACTGCATGCTCTGAAGAAGATGCAAATAGAAAGGCTTTCTGTGACCTATAATTATGTGGAAGAAAAGAGGTATGATTTAGAGTGTGTGTGGTTGGCAAGAGTTAAATTTAAATGTGGTCCGAGCTTACAGTCAAAGAAAGGAGTGTCCCAGTTCTTGTTCTCAGCTGCAACTATGAAACCAAAGTGACCTGGTGTATTGTTAGCAGTCATCTGTCACTCTGACACCACAGCAAACTTCATCAGCTTTGCCARCAAATCTGGTGATGTGGCCTAAGTGTGATGATATTCCCATTCAAAATGTGTAGGTGTGCTGTGCTTTTGCAGAGTTACCTTCATTGTGTAATAACATTTCAAACTGTCTCAGAGCTGGATGTTCCAGGCATCTTTCAGCTGGAAAATCTGAGCATGTGAATGTTGAGAGTTGTCATCAGGAGTTTTCTACCACTGGGGATTTGCCTGCCTTCTAATTTGTAGCTCATTCTGTATAAGTTTTCACTTGTTATTTTACATCTGAGAATGAGGTTGGTTTTTTAGTCCACATGAGGAGCAGCTTGATTAAATTCATGGAGTATCCAATGATTTTCTCTTTGCCAGGAATTTGGACTTCATATGTTGTTAACTTTTGTTGTTGTTCCCTCTTGCTAATATTGACTCCAGCTGTTTAAAAAAGTGCCTTCAAAACCTGTTCAGCAAGCAGCTCATGGATTTAATGAATATCATGGCTTGTGCACTCAGTCTCAGACTCTTTTTCCAGGATCAAATGCAGGTGATGGATTATACTTGTTTCTGCATGTGTTGTTTTAGGATGAAATCAGGTCATATTCTGGGTTGAAGCTCTTTTATCCAGTGAGATATTGAAGTTGGACAAATCAGGTGTTGATTTTGGTGAGATGCAAGAAAAATTTTCTACCCTGTAGCTGATGTGTTTCTTCCCCCTTGGGTTTTTTTTGGCACAGCTGGCACGAGCCACAGTACGTGATCCCAAAACCGGTGTCCTTACAGTGGCCAGCTACAGGGTATCCAAGAGGTAAGGAGAGAGAAGAATTTAGCTTTAAGGTTTTTGTGCTTAACAGCTGTTGTCTGCTACCTGCTCTGTCTGAAAACTTAAACTGCTTTGCATGTAACCAAAGCTTCCCCAACAAATGCATGGAAAATGGCTCTTCTAGCTGTCTCACAAGGGCAGAAAAATCTTTCTGCTTYGGAAGTGTGATGTGGTGGTGGTTGGTATTGTAAAATAATGTTTCTATCTTTCCCTTAGCTCATGGTTGGAAGAAGATGATGATCCTGTTGTGGCCAAGGTGAATCAGCGAATGCAGCAGATCACAGGGTTAACAGTGGAAACAGCTGAGCTCTTGCAGGTTTGTGCTCTGCTTTCATCCTGTTGGAATTAGCTGCTGGTCAGGGTGGGTTTCCCTGTGTGTGCCAGGCAGAGAAGGGTGGAGATATCAAAGAGATAGAAGGCAACTTTGTGCAAGAATTTGAGATTTGCCAGTTTGTTCTGAGGGAAATGACTACTGCTTGTTTTTCAAGTCTGCAAAAGCTCAATCTCTGTCCTAGTTCAACCTTTCTAAGACTCAAATATTTTTTGTAGTCCTGCTCTAGTCTCTCATGAATTGATGTCTGGCTGGCTGTTGGGGARAAGAGTGCCAGTGGTACAGCACTGCCAGAATAGCTGTACCTTAGGCCATTCACTGTTTCTCTTCCTCTATGCTCCTTGAGTTGAAATACTGTTGGTTACAGGCTATYCACAGTAACCAGGTAATTGTGTAATGATCTGGGAGACACTTTAAGTATAGGCTCTGAATAACTAAAACATCTTATGTGATCATAAAGCAAGTGAAGGAGTGTTTTTAAGCTACTTTTCTGTGATCCTGGAGAGGCATCTGTATGTAGCAGATCATACATGAGTGTCACAGAGTCCAGTTCTTCCCCACAGGGAGCTACAGACACTCATCCATCTTCTCTTCAGAGGAAGGAAGRATGAGTGTGATAAAACTCTTCCTGCTCAGTGTTAAATTGGCTGTTGTACTGATAAGTGCAAACCCTTGAACTATGAAAGGAAAAAGCACTTAAGTTGTTTCTCATCTGTGTAMCTCACTTCTGGCAATCTGAAAAGAAATTAATTGTACTATAGATAATAATTTTGCCACAAAGTGCTGTTTCTCAGAGCCTGTGTTAGATTTCTTRGAGCAAGTGCTATTCTGCAGCAGTCACTTGCAGTTCAGTCCGTATTTATGTACCTCCTTCTCCCCTGCTGTAGGTTGCCAACTATGGAATGGGAGGGCAGTATGAGCCACACTTCGATTTTTCKAGGGTAAGATCACACTTGCAATTATTTCTTAGGGGTGTGGGGAGGAGGGAACAGTTTGGTTTGAGGGRACTTTTGAAACTGTTTTCTGTTCGAGCATTTCATACCTAGGCCTGTTGCATGGATGGATTATGAATTCTGAAAAGCCTTTGCACTGCCTTCTCTGATGCTGAAAATTCAAGAGATAATGAACAAACCTCCCTGCTTACCTTTGGGACTGCTTCCTTGCACAGTACAGAGACTAAAGGAGCAGCACTTTAATGTGCTCTTTCCAGTGTTTTATTTATAAACTGAGGTCTGCAAGCCCTGGGTTTTGAGTCTGCCTTGTTCCATTAGGCTTACGAGTTCAATTACATTGTCCAAATCCTGCTTTGCTGGGTGCTTTAAAGCGTTTTGGAGGAGATATCCTTCCACCTTCCCTCCAGAAAAGCAACCTTTATGGGAATCCTCGTGGGTTGTACAGCCCTTCTGGCAGACTCCTGCAGCAGCAGGATCTGAAGAGATTTGCCTGGGTTGGTGTTGAGGGCAGTGCTCCAGCAGCAGGTGGAGGTGCAGGTGGTGGTGCCGGGACTTCGTGAGGCACTAGAGGGCTCTGCCTGGCAAAGAACAGCTCTGGTTTGCTGTSAGTGGGGAGAAAAGAAGAGCAGATTCTTAATAATGACCCTAAACCAGCTCATGGATGTGTTACTCATATTGTACAGCTATGGTGACTGGTAACTTCAAATATAAAATCCATCTGATGCCTTGGTTTCTGTGGTATTTCAATGGRATCTGGCATAATTCAGATTGTCCCAGTGGTTTTACCTGGTAGGAGGGATTGCTGCATCCAGAATATACAACACAATAAGTGCAGAATTGAAGCCACCCAACTTAGCACTGTTAAAAAAATTAAAAATCTGAGTTTCAACACTATGGAAGCTTGTATTCGTTAGCTTTGGCCTGTTGTGAGAATTTTCCTCTTAAGACTGCTTCGTTTCCTGAGTTGAGCAAATTCTCTTCAAAGCCTTTGAACTCAAGGACCTCAGGCATCAAATTGGCCAGCGTGGACTTTACTTTTGGATTAGGAGATGGGGCAGGGTTCCACTTGGAACATAACCTTGGCTGCTGCTGTCAGCTGAGGCAAGGCAGCCGCAGAGGTTGCCACAGTTTTGGTTGGGTCCTGCAGGCTCTCTGTGCATCACAGATTTTTCAGTGTTGAAACAGAGGTGCTGCTTCTGATCAGCCTTGAAGCTTTTTGTTCCCTTGCAGTTCTTAAATAGGGRCACTTCAGTAGCTTCCTAATAAAACTTGGAGATTTTATTTATTGTTTAAGTTAGATTTTTGCTGTTGAAGTGCAGAAAGTCATGGTTGGACCYAAGTTTCACAACAGTGGCAGTAACCAAGGAATCCCCTGTATTTCAGCCTTCTTATGTTGACTTTTCTGGATGGGGATATGCATATGCAAGTCTTGGGGGTTTTATGAACCCATTTCAGTAAAGACCACGTGTTTATCAAAATATGCTTCACATAGATTGAACTACAACATCTTGGACACRGTGGCTGTGGTTTTCCTTGCTGTTTGCTTTTTTCAATACTGATTTATTGTTTTTTTGAAATGTTGAACATAATTTCTTTTGTGTATAAAAATGCACCTTGATGTCTCCTGACTGGAATGACTTCCTGACTATTAGCAATGGAAATAAGTTTCTAATTCCATTTTTTTGAAGGCAAGAAAGACACTGGTATTCTAGATGTTCTTTCTCCTTCTACACTGGCACCAGGTGTGATCTCAGCTTCAACMAGTGAAACTCAATGTTTCTTACAGAGTAAAGACAATTTGACCTTTTTGATGTGGTCTTTAGTACTAGACTGGCAACCACCTGAAACTACTCTATAGTTTTGTCYGCTGGCAAAACATGCATTTGCTCTTCTCATGACAGCATTTCTTTGAGKTGCTGCATTTACAAGAATCTGTGTTATCTAAAGCCCTCTGAAGATTAGTTTTTTGTATTCACCTCAGTTGTTGACTTTGGATCAGTGCCCAGAACAATAATGGCCTGTTGTTGACCTTACTTGGATAACATCTGTGCCACAGGCCCTGAAAGCTTTGCTTCTATTCTCCCTTCAGAATTGTTCAGTGCAACTTCTCCTCGGTGCATCCAAGTGCTCTGTGCATGCAGCTGTGTGCCCTGGCTGCAACTTGTGATGGCTTTAATGTTGCCCTGTATCAGTTGTCCCCTTTCTATTCCAACTCTTTAAACTGGGCTTGAGGATCTCTGCAGAGCTGGGTGAGAGCCTGTTTGGAACCCGGGTTAAAGTTGTTGTCTGTTGCAGCGACCCTTTGACAGCACACTCAAATCGGAAGGAAATAGGCTAGCGACGTTTCTTAACTATGTAAGTATCTCTGTCTGTCTACTGTCTGGGAGCTCGAAATTTGCAGTTATTCTCATTTAATTTTATAGAAAGATGAGCCAGATGCTTTCAAGCGGTTAGGGACTGGAAATCGTGTGGCCACTTTTTTAAACTATGTAAGTATSATGATCCTTTATGCATTGAGTGTAACTTTAGCAGCATCTTGTTTACAGCTTGTGCAGTTGGTTATTTGTAGAGATTTCCTGGCATCTGGCAGTAGGGATTTCCTTATTCTTGCAGCATCAGGTGCTGTCCTATCTGATTTCATAGAATTATGGTGGTGTTTAACCTCAGAGCAGCGAATTTGAATATTGGACCCATCTTCCCCTTTTGGCCAYGCTGCTGTGGAATTTTTTACTTAATTGGATTCCACGGGGGTACAGGAGAATCTTTATTTCTCAAAGGGAAATACTTGGGGTACTCATGTGGTATGCTGTTGGAGAACTTGACTGTCAGCCACTTAATGTGAGACAGTCACATTTTCCCACCACTGTTTGACAGCACTTGATGTTGTGGTCTGTCAGCCTCTTCCTCAGCTGTGTGGCAAAGCCAGAGCTGCTCTGGCACAGCTGCTGCTTCAACAAATGGATGAGAAGAGCTGATAAACTTGGTGTAACTGGGTTACAAGTGCAGACTTGAAAGATTCATTAGTTGCATGCATTATACAGCCCACAGACCATGTACACCAGAATCCTAAGCATTGCTGCCACTGTGAATAGTGGCCTTCTTTTCACAGGAGTCTTCTGACAATATTTCCTCACTATATCTTTAGGATCACCTCATTTTCTATGTTTAATATTTGAGTGATATATTTTAAGTATATTGTCACAGAATTTTAAATATTTGATGGCTGAGCTCATATTTTGAGAGTAAAATGCAACTCAAAACAGAACCAGAAACACTTCCAACTTAATATGGTGAGGAGGGAAATTATCTTCAAAACAAGCATTGGAATAAGATAGGTAGCTGTGAAATATTTTGCTGCAAAGARATTTTAATTTTAAAATGTGACTGTATTTTGTTTGCTTCTCAGAATTCTGGACAAACCTTGATTTAGAAGGAATGATGTGCATTCTCTGCAAGGTGTACATGGTCAAAGGCAATTTGCTCTTGTTTGTCCCATGTAGAACACATAACACATCATACACCTACCAACACCTTGACTAAAAAAGAGTGGTTGTGTGGCTGAGACATAGGCATTAACTTGCAAGGCTGCATGCACACGCTTTCTAGTTGGAAGGGGCAAAAACCTGTGCACCTATGGCATTTTATGCCCTTTTATTGTAGGTACCAAGCAAGAGGATACAGAGTGGTAATAACATCTGCTTTAAACAGAAATCCAAGTTACAATAGGGAATGTGGGGACTTGGGGAGTGTATTTATAGTAGTTTTTAAATTTGGTGGGATCTTAATCTGACTAATTTGTTTCTTTTAATTAGAATCTGATGTAAAGCTTGCTGAATTCAGTGAAAATACTTCCTATTTTTAATAATAGTGTTTCCGGGAACTTCGGTGGGTTTTGAGTCAAATCTGGAAKTTTCAATGAATCCATTGTTACAGGTGGATTCAACAGAGTTAAATTCATTCCAGTGTAGAAGGGCAAAGCATAAAGCCTCATGGTTTTCTTTAGAGTCACATAGCTGTAGGTGTTAAAGCTGCCTGAAGAACTTGAAATTGCATAACACTGCTGGTGAGCAGCATAGAAACAGTGCAGAAAGAGAGGCTTTCTAATAGTTTGTATAGTTTTTGAAGTGGTTGACCAAAATGTATAAATTAAATTATGAAAATGAGTTCCWAAGGCATGGTTTCAATTTATGAGGAAATCTGTGGTTTAACAGACACTTGTTTTCCTAATTGGATCATAAAGTGGAATGAAATTCTTGAAACCAGCTTACTCTGAAGTCCTCTCTCTTGTTCTAGAGTATTAACTGATTAACACTGCAGGTACAACTTCTAGTGGCTCATTGAAGCAGATGATATATAATCTAGGCAATATATATCTAGACAAACATAATCTGGTCAAAAGCCTTCATCTGAAATAAAATCCTTCAACAGCAGATACTGCTACCTCTGCAGTTTGTGCTGGTTGAAGTGCATCCTCCCTCATCAGTGCTGCTTGTAAAGGTGCAAGTGGAAATTTTGGGCCTTGTGGCCCTTTAGCTTGTGGGACTATGTGTAAAAAAACTTGTGAATGGACACTTGTGTGGGCTTTCTTTTCTCAGATGAGCGATGTGGAAGCTGGAGGAGCTACAGTTTTCCCAGATTTTGGKGCAGCAATATGGCCCAAGAAGGTAAAGTCTGTTTATGTGTTTGGGGTTTATTCCTTCCCTCTCCAGTTACTGTCTCTCCCTCAGCACAGTCCATGTAAAAGTCAGCTTTTGTGACAAAGGGCACTTCATTGTAGCTGGAGTGATCTTCAGACTAAAGGGCATCTCCCTTTGTTTGTGCTGTATGAAGTGAGCAGTTTCTCTGTACAGCTGGTTTTAACAAAGGAAACTGCTCAGTAGAGCTCCTCTGTACCCTGAACATGGCTGAGCTAGAGCAGGACAAAGGGTTTTTCATGCTGTCACTGGTGATCTGTTAAAGTGTTTGCAGCTGCCTGCAGCTGAATCCATGGGCATCCCTCTCCCCTTGCTGTAACCTGGTTATTATACTGGCTAGGGTCTGACTAATCCACATCTCATYTCACTTTTCAGGGAACAGCAGTGTTTTGGTACAACCTCTTCCGAAGTGGTGAGGGGGATTATAGAACAAGACATGCAGCTTGTCCAGTACTAGTAGGGTGTAAATGGGGTAAGTAATACTCCTTTAGGAACAAAACCTGAAGGAAGGCTCATGTATGTAAAGCATGGATACACAGACCCCTTTAAAAAGCACTTAATAACCTGGGTGTTGCCATTTCCAGTCTCTTGGCCATAATGACATTTCCTGCCATTGATTTCATAAGTATTGAGCAGCTGCATTGTTCAGCTGTAACTTTTCTAGTAGGTTATTGTGATGATGGCAGCAGGAAGTGTAAGACTGTCACTGGGTTTGTATGGTGTATCAGCATCAGTTTGACCTGAATTATCACTGGGCTAGAATGAGATTCCTACAAAAATGTGTGCAATTTTAGCTGCAAAAGGGTGAGGGTTCCTTATAAGATAAATGGGAGTGTCTGGACACGAGGAATTTCTGCTTCCTGCTGAAAGCATCTCAAGCTTCATGCTATCCATTTTCAAACCTGCCTCTCCCACCCTGGCATGCCAGAGCATGCTGTCAGTGATACCAGCCCCAGAATACACTGCTCTGTTACTGYTGGCTTCAGAATGGCACTGTGGGGAAGATCCTTTCTTCCCAGCCCTTTGCATCTTTCTATGTATTTTCCCTTGGGTGAAATATAAGCAAACGGAGAAATTTAACTGGAAGTATCCATCCAGGTTGTGGTGATACCCACACTGGGTACATTGTGATAACTRATTCCAGTTCCCTGTTTCCACAGTTTCAAACAAATGGTTTCACGAAAGAGGAAATGAATTCTTAAGACCTTGTGGGAGAACAGAAGTTGACTGAATTCCAGCCTGCTGCAGATCTTTGTTTCTGTCTCCTTTTCTACTGTTGTTTGTTCCAGTTCATTTCTAAGAAATGATCCATCTTTTTCTCCAAGAGTCCTGGCACTTTACAACAAAAGAGTAATAAAATATGTAACACCTGTGAAAGAAAGTAAATGGCATTGTACACATCCTTGTGTTTTGGTTGCTGTTATTTCCATGTTCCCCTGCCTTCCTCCCTCCAGTCTTCCTCTGTAGTAGTGGTGCAAACAGTGCTGTGGGCAATTCCATTTGTTTGGGTGCTTGGTCTTGTGCCTTTTGTACCTCAGAAGATTTAGATGTTAAATATTTCTTTGAACCAAAGTTGTTTTTTTAAAAAAAAAAGTTTTGTGTACATGTTGATTTTATTGTATTTCTATGGATCACAAGTTTTAAAGCAAGAATAAATGTTTTTTCCATAAAGTGATTCTCTATTTGGTATCCTTAATAGGTGCATCAGTGCTTGGTTTCAGGGAAGAGTGGGCTTTTATTTTTTCCTCTRAGGGGCTGTTGTCTTGTTGCCCTTTTCCTGTAGAAAATACATCATGGTTTTGGACAGTGTTTTATTTAAAACTCCAGTACACAAGAAAGAACTGTTGAAAGTTCATGAAAAGGTGTGATTTGTGTATTGAAACAATAATGTGTCCTGGGAGCAGAGAGGTTGCACGTTTTTAAGTCGGTGGCAACTGTGGTCTCAGTGTTTTATACTTAGGAGAACACTTTTCTTGTGGTGTTAACTCTCACTTTGTGAGGTGCTATCTGTTTTTAACACAAACAGTTACAAAAATCTGAAGCTTTTCAAGAATGTTGATGTTCTTGATGATCCCTGATTTTAAAAGCAGATATCTGCTGACAAAACACTGTTTTTCCCACAGGAATACCTGAACTCAGCACCTATGGAACCCAGTAGCATGTTTTGCAAGCAAATCTTAGTCTASTTTTGTAGCCTGGAGCAGGATTTTGTCTTGCCCTTCAGTCAGGCTGGGAATAATCCTGCCCTGTGATTCTCCTTTGCCCTTTTGTTCTGTTAACATGTTACTTGGCTGCAAGCCAACACATGGAGGACTGAAAGGAAGTCCCATTTCTAGTTTTTCTAATTTTGTTGAATTACATGTGAAGAAATGAGAGTTAATTGGAAAAAAAGGCAAAAATTATGGGGAAACAGGCAAATGGTTCAGAAATACAGGAACTTGGTTTTAGTACCAGGCTATTGTACCAATATGTGGCTGTGCAGGTGCATTGACTTTGGATCTCTCCCTGGCCCTCTGTGGTTTGGGCTTGACTTCATGGGACTAGGGATGACTGCAGGTGAAGTCAAAGCCAGAACTGGTGCCATAAGAAAGTTCCTAAAGCCGTGCTTGGGCAATAGTTAATGTATCAACACATGGAAYGGGCTTGAGAAAGTGAAAGAAGCTTCAATTGCCCTGAAACACCCACTTGCAGTCAGGGTTGTCATRACCCAAGGCTTTGTGCCTCTGCATTGCCCTGTGTTGTGCAAACACTGAGGTAAGGCTTAAAACAGGAGGTGGGCAGGGTTAGAAGGGATTCCCTGCTGTTCTTTTAGGAGAGCATGGAACAGGAGGGTTTTACGTGTCAGATATAACAGATGTCATCGATTTATTCTATCAGTATTAAAGCAGTGTGACTCAGCAATGCATCTTCATGTGCCTTTGTATTTTACATGTGAGGAATTTATGAACTTGAGGGTTATTGCTTTGTTTRGATGCTAAATGCACCTGTAGCACTAAAGCTTTAATTTTTCTGTTAAACATGTGCACTGATTGAAGAGAGAGGCCCGACTGAGGCAGACTTACTGAGCTCAAGTTGTTAATGACACTGAAATGAGAATCTAGTCTTGTAACTAAGCTCTGTGTGAATACTTATGCCGGGTAGCTATAGGAACTGCAATATTTCTTTTCCTAAAAGCTTTAAAGACCTACCACAGCAGAGCTCAATAGCTGCTCTAATCTCCCAGGGCACTCCTTTGCTTGCCATGAATTTTGTGGTTGCTGGCTGGCTGTTCAGAATCTCKCATTGTTGACCTCCAGTTTTCTTAGTGAAATCTCTCAGCATAACATAAACTTAGGAAATAAGGAGTTTTGCTTTTTAACAAAGTATTCAATATATGACAGTCTTGCAGATGTGAAGGCATGACCATGAGCCAAAGCCACAATCTCTGGTTGGAACACTCTGGGGTTCAGGGGAAGGAAGAGGAACCTACTTAGACTTTGTCAACGTGGTATGTTGATAAAGTTCACATCAGGWCTCTGGCCAAAAGCTGCACATCCCACTTCTGAAATAGCATAGTTGGCTGGGAACTACCATTGTTAACTGTGTGTTRTCATACTGAACTTCTGAAGATAATTTTGCTTGCTTATTTTCTCTGGGAAAAATCCTGGTCTGTCTTCTCAGTCGTCTCTGACCTTGCTCCCATCTAAAGTAGGAGGCAATGATTGTGGATGCAGAACTGCTTGAATGACAAGCTGCTTTTGGTGCTGTGTGCAGGATTTGCTTACTGCTAATCTGATCTGAAGAGCTAAAGAAAATAAATACAATAATTTGAGAGATGACAGCATATGTAGCTTGTGAGATTCAGTAACCTCCCAGGCATATTTGTGTAGTCTGACACATTATACTCCCTWTTCTGTCTCACCATTGCAGAAGATTAACAGAATATGGCAGTTAGCCTAAATTTAAGCCTATGGAATTGTTCTTAGACCTAAAACAAAGAAGTTTCAAATGCTGGAGCAAATCAGCCTTTCTCCATGTAGGCACGGGGTTCCTGCCAGCGTGTCTGGTAAGGAGAGCTCTTAAGTCATGTGGAGACTGAAATGGTTTTTTTCCTTACATTCTGTATGCTCTTCTTTATTTCRCAGGGTTTAAGATACTGACACACCCTGCAGAGACTGACTGGACCAGTGGCTGCCAGACACTTTGAAGTGCTTTGGGTCCTTTTCTGGCCCCTTCTGCTGGAGTTACTGGAGATGAGGTCTGCAAGGCGCTGCCCTGTGTGACAGATACTGGTGAAGGCAGACACCACATGAGCTCTTATGGAAAGATGGTCTCTTATCTTAGGCAGCCTGTGTAGTCATAAAAAGAACAACCACCCCCAGCCCACGCCAGCAATCCACATCCAGCTCGAGCATGTGGTTTCTTAACCTTAGCCTGAATGCTGTTAGGTGGATACAGTGTCACCGAGCAGTCATGCAGCCCTCCAGCTGGGTGAGGAAATCACCCAAAATATTYGTGTTGAGCTGTACAGACTCAGTGAAGTGCTTATCATCTTTTTGCCTGCATTAGAAGTTACTTCTCTTTCCTGTTACAGTAGAACAGCGTGTGAAAACCATCAATCTAATCAGCTTAGAGGGGAAAAGTGGCATCCAGGCTAAAATGTGCTGTGGGAGTAGTGAGAGGGTCTGTCTRGGATGGGCATGGGAGCCTGTGCAAGCCCTGGCAGAGAGCAGTTGGTGTGTTCAGCTTAGGAGGGGACCACATTTGTGTTCTGCAAGAACAGTTCTGCACCTTGGCTGAGCTGTGAGCTCCCTACTGCAGGAAGAGGAAGGGTCATTTTTCAGTGATGTCAAGTGTTCTTGGAGATGAGGGCGATACATGTGAGGGTAAAAGGCAGCCTAGGATATGGCTGATCTCCAGACCTCTTCCTTCTGTTCTTCCTGTGCCYTGTGAAGGTGCTGGGGTGGCTCAGCACAGCAGGTGACGTGGCAGCAAAGCCAGGCAGTTCATGCCCCAAAATTTACCTCTGCTTGGTAAGGATTTCCCCAAAGACAGACTTTGTTTCCAAAGCCTTGGGAGAAATGCCCCCCCTGCCAGGTATTCTCCAGCAGAGTTGGCCTTGGCTGGAGCACACCAGGGTGTTTCTTTTGAAATTCCTTGTGAGGCCTTGAAAGTCAAGAATGAAGTGCTGGCTTGATGTGAAGAACAACTTGGTCAAAACTCACATACTCAGATGAAGAATTATTTTTCTTTGAAATCTGTTTTTCTTTCATGCTTTAAGGGCTCACAACAGCATCAGCAACTTGTGGGGGATCTGGGGCCATGGTGCCCTGAGCTCTCTTGGCAGCACCTTGCACTGTGTGTGCAGCTGTACCCAGAGCAAGACCCAGCACCAGCTCTTTGCCAGGGGGAAGGAGAGAAGGGAGCCTGGCTGCAGTTTGAGTATCTATTTCTGGGCAGGTGGCAATGCCAGCAGCAGGGATGTGACATGGAGGTGAGCAGCCTCACGGCTGCTCAGGTTAAACTCCTGCCCCCAGTGTGCTCTGCTSTGGATCTTTGTGCAGCCCAGCTGCCAAAAGCAGCTCTGTAGCTGCTGTTTGCTGGCCGAGGAAAGTGTGGGTGAAACTGGTGGTGTGTTGTTTTGAGCTAGAAATATACCTTATCAGGTGTTTTGCATCAAGATTTGGGTTGGAAATAGTGGATCTCAGTGTGCCTCAGGGTAACCTCAGATGTTTCTGACTTCTTGTTTCTTGAGAAGCTTGAGAAGCATTTATGAAATGATCCTGTTTTGCCATGAAAAGGGCAGAGTTCCACCCCTGTCCTCATTCTGTGATAAGGGATAGGATCTGGGGGCAGCAGTGCCTCTGGCTTTGCTTATCTTACCCTTGGAACATCCTTGTACTTCTTCTTCCTGGTGTTTCAGCTCTCAGATGAGGAGGAGAAGGCAAGTTTCACTGCATTGTATTTTGGTGCAGTTTTGTTGACAAACAGGATGGCCCAGTCTGGGGGGGCTCATCTCTGGCCACAGCTCTAATKTGGTTTCTCCTCAATGCTCGCTGCTTCAGGCCCTCACCTGCAAAGCAGGGACTGGACTCAAGGATGCCYTTTTTGCTTCMTGCTCCAGCAGGGAGGTGGGAGCCMTCTGCAACTTCTGAAWCCTGAGGATGATGTCAAATTAYAGAGCAGTGAGCTGGGTGAGCACCATCATCCCCTTGTGTGGGTGCTGATTGTTTGGGGTGTCACTCCTCAGAGGTGCAGAGAATATTGCTGCCAGTGTCCATATCTGCCAGGACAATGGAAGATTGATGTATCACATKGCACATTCAGACCTGATGAGTCCTGATGAACTTTGTGAATCTTCTCTGCTTGTCTGGGCTGGCGTGGAGTGATTCACTCACTGTGGTCCCTGAGATTCAGCAACCCCCTGACCACATCCATCGGTGGACCTGGACAAAGTCTCCAAATGACTCAACCCCTGGAAGAGGAGCTGGCTGATCCTGGCACTTATCCCATTTTCTGCAGAAGATGAGCTGGTCCCATGGGGTTTGTTGCTCTGGCCCTGGAGCTTTGTGTGTGATTTGGTTTGAGAGTGGCAGTGCAGTCAGCAGTGAACACCACCCGCCTGCCCACCAGTCCTGGTGCCATCACTGAGCCCTCTGTGGAGGCTGCAGCCACTGCTGTGCCACGGGCAGGCTG